CGCCAACCCGTGGCCCTCCGGTTGGGTTCGAGTACATTTCCTCACCCGGACGATCCAAAGCCGAGACCGGCTGGCAATTACGGGAGCCCACTCGAAAATCTGGAGGACCACAGGTTGGGGAAATGTCATGCCCGCAAATGTATACGTTCGCTTTCGTTCCCTTTTTGGACTAACAACACATTCTCAGCCGACGCACAAGTCAAGGCATCTAGAAAACACCACTTGGAGAAAACTTTTGTCCCAAAGGCTCATTGCGAGTAAAAACCGATAGACAAAATGGAGAAGCTGACCTGGAAGATTTAAGTAGATAGAAACCTTGCTCTTATACCAGCTTAGGCTAACTAGAATAACCCCAGGTTGTGTTGTGTTGTGTATGTGTGTGATACCGATGATATTCTTCCCTGTTATCTCTTGCTAACAAGACACCACCACCCCGTTTACTTGCAGCAGAATTCTCTTCCTAAACTAGTATGTAGCGCCATTCCTTTTCCTTCCAATCCTTTTAAAGGCTGCTTATCTATAATTGCTCTCAGCAGATGGCAGCACGTGACCAATCTTGTCAAAGCTAAGAAGCTGAGAAGGGTCAGATGGGTAAATGTTTGGATGGGCTTCTCTAGGGGATCCCAAGGATGTCTCCAGATAGAGAAGTTGAAAGAAGATCCCAGAAGAAGGCAATTGTAACCCCCTTCTGTATTGCTGCCAACCCCCCCCCCCCAACCCTAATAGGATGTAGCCATGCATTTCCCTTTCTATGTCAGAGCCAGCCTCATCATTGGGCAGGACGAGGTGGCCAGTTCAGGCAGTAAGCTACTGAGGACAGGGTGGTCTGTGGCCAGTGGAAGATGTTGTCCTGCTGCTGGTGTTGAAATAATACTCTGTTGGCAGTCCAACTGATTAGTAAATGGGCTGGGAGGGAAAACACAATCTTGTCCTTCACTCCAAACATCAAAATGTCTTGGGCAGCTGTACACCTTTGGGGCTGAACCCTTTTTAAAAAAGCAATTAATTAAATACAAAAGAAAAGGGTGTACGCATGCAACCACATTATAGCTTCATTTCCCCAGAACCACTAGCTGCCCTTTCATTGATGGCTCTTGTCTTCCCTATTACCCATTTTGAATATAATCTTGGGAGAAGAAAGAGGTCTATTTTTCCTAGATTGATAAATGCTGCAGAAATATTAATTCCTTGACATCTGATTCTTCAAAATGCTCTTTTAAAGAAATACTAAACATTACAAGTCACAACAAGTAACTGATCTTGGAGAAAAAGCTGATCAGGATCAGATCTGGCTAGTCCCTGGATGGCAAGCCACCAGGAAATTCTCATACCATAAACGAGACTGGGAAGTTGAAAAAACATCCCAAAAGAAGGTAATTGCAAAGTGTTTCCATATTATTGCCAAGAGAATTATGTGTGGACACTAGGAATTGAGTGCAGCTCGAGGTTTTTAACCTTAAATATTACAAGTGACCATGAAGTACTATTACTTTGGCACATGGGTTATATTGATTGGCACAAGCATTCATATCACTCTTCTCTCACTCTATTTCAATAATTCAACAGATATTAGTAAAGCTTCTAAAAGACTGAGAGGCAAAGACTAGTTTTCCAGGAGACAATAGTCAAAGTCAGAACAAAATAGTTTCTAATTCCTTTTAGTGATTAATTCCAACATCAACTGCTTCCAAATTGTCTGTTAAATATTCAGCTGGACATTGCATGCTGGCACTAAATATATCAGTCCCACTGAAAACTTTTTCTTCTCAGATAATAATAACAACAATTTATTAAACTTGTATGCTGCCTATGTAAACAAAATGTAACTATCTCTGAACAAGAAATTTGGAGTTCAGAATAATACAATTAGTCATAGTAAGATTTCTACACTCTCAATATATCCTCAGCACAAAGATGACATGATAACCAAGGCATGTGCCTTCTTGAGGTTTTGGCTGAAATGTGTTATTACTATACAGATGACACCCAATTTTAATCACATTCAAATAAATCTGGGAAGATAAAAGGCTGATCTCTGGAGGCAGAGTGGATTGTATGAAGTCTATAAACTGAAGATTAGTATAGAAGAGATGGAGGATTTATTAATGGATGCTTCTTCTGGCCTGGAAAAAGATGTTCAGTCTCTGCACACCTTGTAAAATATCAGGTTATCTGGAAACTTACACTGAATACAAAATACTGTAACAAAATTACAAGTTGGGACTTATGCACAGTTATAGGATGGGGATACCTGGCTTCATAATGGTACGTATGAAAAGGATTTTGAAATTCAAGCACAATTCAGCTGCTGGTTTTAAGCAAAAAAGCCCTAAAAATTATAGGCCCAGCATATCTATAGGCCATATCCTCCAAGTTACTTTGGCCAGATTATTTGTTGTGCTTGAGAGGATGTTCTGGATACCCTCAGTCTGAAAAAGGAAGGAGACAGAACCACAGAAGCAATTTTCTCCATTGTTGCCCTGATCCACTGGAATAAGATGCCCACACCCCCTCCCCAAGATATCCAGTTGGCCTCAGTCTCTACTTGAGTCATCTTTTGGAAAGTTGTCAAAACATAGTTGTTCTGACAAGTCTTTGGAGATCAATATCTGCTCTTTGCCTGCCATCTGTTTGGCAATATGCTATCTTAAATTTACATTGTTTTTAATGAATGTTACATTGTGGCTTTACTGTTTTACTACTTAAGACAAGTTTTAAGATATTTTCAATTGTGGCAGTATACAAGTAAAGGAAGATAGATAGATAGATAGATAGATAGATAGATAGATAGATAGATAGAGATAGATATGAGATGATAGAGATAGTCACTCTGGTGAGATGGGCAGTGACAAATTTGAAATATAAATAAATATAAATAGATGATAGAGATAGACACGAGAGAGCGAGAGAGAGACGATAGAATCAGTGACAAGCTGAATTTGAGTGAAAGCATTCTCAATATATCTAGGAAATCTTAAATCTTACCACCACATTGGGGAGAGAAGGTATGGTAGCCCTCTTCAACTACCTGAACAGGTGAAACACAGAAGGATGTGACCTGTGCTCTACTGACTCAGAATACAAAGTGGAAGACGTGCAATGCTGGTCTTAAATTACAGGAAAGGGATCCAACTGAATGTTAGGAAAAGTTCTAATGTAAGAGGAGTTCAATGACTGTATCAGTTACCTAGGGCAGTGGTGGCCTCCTCATAATTGGATGTAATGAAGCAGAGGTGAATAGATTTGGGATCCTTTAATGGATTTCTGCACTTAGCAGGAGTAAATTCAGTAACCTAAATAACCTTTGCCAATTCTGATTTTAAGGACTGTTCACTTTAAAACAGCTGCATTAATTGTGCTTTTAATATTAATAATTAAATGTGGTGATTCTTTCAATTTAACTCTGGTCACATAAACTTGTCCAAATATTAAGGTATTCCTTAAATGTCATGCCATGAGTTCCAGTCTTTGAGAACAAGGCTGAGAATGCTCAGAAGCAGGATTTTCTACATGGCACTCAGTTATAGAATATTGCCTAGGGACAGCCTGACACAGATTCTGGTTTTTGTTTCTGAGCATCATGTCAAGAGTTACTGAAAGCAAGAATTCAGTCCAAATTTCTACAGCACTTTAGTTAATCTCAGGCAAATGAAAAGCTAAATTCCAAACCCTAAATAAGTGCATACAACCTTATTCACTCAATGATCAGTTTCTCAAAGTTCT